GGGGGGTGAGCATTAACTTGTTCTTCTGCACAGTAGAATTGTAAATGGGCTGATTCAACAATGTCATGCTCATAACTGTGACTGAATTGCAACAGGGAACTGTTGCTTTTTCTTTCCTGATCCTTGCTATCGTCATTTTCCCTCTTCTTATTTTGTTTGTTTGTCACACTCTAGTGACCCGCTACTTCAGGGGTGCCTTGATAGTATAGTCGAAGCAGACTTTGTGCTGTTGAAGCTAGAGAGGTGAGCAGAGTTAGCATGATTCCCTGTAAAGACTTCTCTATTGACATCCACCTCTTGGCGCTCATATGACCTTATGCAGTTGCGAGCGCCGTAAAAGCTAGTAAAACTAAAGGCGTACTTTTAAGTATGTGTGGTGTTGAGGAAAATATGTCAAATGTTTAATGTCGAAGATGCTTATTGTAAATCCCCTATCAATTGTTTTTGACCCGCTTGAGGCTAACATCAATGAAAACGTGTCAGAGTGGGTGGTTGGCGGGTGCTCTGGTGTGGTTTGCTCCTTCTTTCCTATCAAACATCTATTGTCTTTATCTCCCCTCCTTCTTTTTTGTGTTTGTTACTCTCTTGTAACACCTTCAATCTTCGGCACTTATAAGACCTTATTGTGTTGCAAGTGGCGTAATACTCTTACTGAAACTTAAAAAAAACGTGTCAGAACCTTAGTTTGCTGTGACCTTTATGAATGGGCTTTCAGATTTTGTTGGTCAGCCAACTTTTAGACCCGTATGCAAAGTTTAGAAAAGATTAAACAGAGCGATTTTTATTTTACCTTGTTTTAACCGCTGTTAGACAAAAGTATGTGGGTGGTTAGCGGGTGCTCTGGTGTGGTTTGCTCGTTCTTTTCTATCAACCATTTATCGTATCGTCCTTATCTCTCCTTCTTTTTTGTGTTTGTTACTCTCTTGCAACACATCTAATCTTCGGCACTTGTATGACCAAATTGTGTTGCTAGTGTCATAAAACGCTTACGAAGGCTAAACCATGGCTCTGATTTAAAGCCATCCAATCATTTCATTCAAGTGATATGTCATAATCCTCCCGGGGCGGTGCCATTGACTGAAGTGTCTTTAGGTCATTCCCAAAGGGGGGACATTTCTCGTTCAAGCATAGTAGAATTGTAAATGGGCTGACTCATGTCACGCTCATAACTGTGCCTGATCTACAACAGGGAACTGCTGCTTTTTCTTTCCTGGTCCTTACTATTGTCATTTTCCTCTGCTTCTTTTGTATGTTTGTCACTCTCTTGTGACCTGCTATTTTGGGGTGCCTTGGTAGTCGAAGCAGACTTTGTGCTGTTGAAGCTAGAGAGGTGAGCAGAGTAAGTTGATTCCCTGTAAAGATTCCTCTGTTGACACCCACCCCTTGGCGCTCATATGACCTTAAATGCAGTTGCGAGCGCCGTAAAACCTTCTACTATAAAAAAAAAGTGATATGTCATATATCATGTTGTGTTGCCTTCCATGAAGTGTGTTGTCATTTTAAGAACACTTGGGTTAAAAAATTATTTTTTTTAATGCGACTTAGACCATTTATTTTTCTGACCTCGTCAATTGTTCAGTTGTGTCGTTATCACATGGCCGACATCGCACACCAAACTCTTTGTGGGTGGTTGGAGGGTGTCACTGGTAATTTCCACGTCAGTGGGTGGTTGGTGGGTGCTCTGGTGTGATTTGCTCCTTCTTTCCTATCGAACATCTATCGTCCTGATCTCTACTACTTCTTTTTTGTGTTTGTTACTTTCTTGTCACACCTCTAATCTTCGGCACTTATGTGTGCAAATTGTGTTTCAAGTGCCGTCAAACTCTTACTAAAACAATGTCCTTGTCTTTACCCATTCCTCTGCTTGATCTGTGGGCCCATCTGGCTTTAGTCCCCAGCGCTATTGACTTTCGTAGAGTTCATTCATGTGAGGTTGTTTTTTTTTTACTCGTGTGTATTTAAGACTGAACTTTTCTTGACCGAAATCCTGCATATTATGTTTTGAGAGTGGCCTTAATCCGACTCATGGAAGACATTCATCTATAGGTCTTGCTTGGTCCTCAAAGTGTCAGGGTTGTGCCTCCACTGAAGAGCGAGGGTTTAAGTCGGAGCCGAAGCTTGTGTCTGTACCCGTCTGCCCAATATTCGTGACATTGTAACATGTGGTATAACTGCTATTGGGGAAGGCGCTTTCATTAAAAAACCTTTCGAATGTTTCACTATGATTCGGTTCTGATGATTTGTGAACATTTGTGGTTGGATTTGTTTGTTTGTTTGTTTGTTTGTTCGTTTGTTTGTTGCCTTCGTTGCTCCTTCCTTTTTCAGTCATTACTTAGGGATTTTTTAACGCTGAAAGTTAGCATTTTCTTTTTTTTCAAATGGAACAATAAATTCTTATCTTTTATTTGTAAAAGTATTTCAAACGTACTTAAAGCAGCTGATTGGTATATTATTGTATCATGTACTTTTCATGCTTTATTAATTTTTTCTTTTTGTTTTGTTTCCCTTTCAGATTCTTTCCCCTGGTGTCCTAGTTGAGTGGTTGACTCGCCGTACTCTGGACACAAACTGTCTGGTCTGGTCTGACGTTGTGAGCTGTGAGGTCCTTCCTCGTACGCCGTGTTTCTCTGACACTCATTGACACACTTGCTGAGGACAGAAGGACGCCTGTCTGTGTACGCATCTGATAGTTTCTAAACACGGATAGACGTGTTCATTGTTGGTGCTGCAGAGTTCAGCGTTGTCTACCAGGCGAATCAGTCGTTGTTACAGACGAGTGAAGCGCCCCAGCACGCTCCCCCTCCCCTGTGTGTTCAACACTGACGTGCTTGCATGACGGACGTTGTGGAAGATATTTGTGTCAGAGTCAGAGCTGTTGTCTCTGCCTACTTGTGATTACCCCCTCCCACCAACACCCCTTGGCTGCCTCTGAGATAGCCTAATAGTGTTGAGAAGGGCGTTGAACCTGTATCATTTCACGCCCACCCCTTGGCGGCCTTTTAAAATAACATAATTGTGTTGATAGGGGAGTTGAATCTATACCATTTCATCATTTTCACCACCACCAACCCATTGCCACCTCTTGATATACCCTAATAGTGTTGACAGGGGCGTTGACAGGAGCGTTGAACCCATACCATATTCACCATCACCCCTTGAGAAAAGTCTCTAGTAACCGCCCGTCCACACTGACCACACTGTCAGCTGAACACGATTCCACTGACCACGCTCCCACCATGGTAGAGCTCCTGTGTCTTCTGCGCGCCACCAGCACCTGGCACTTCCTGCTGGCCATCTGTGTGATTGACGTCACGTTCATCCTGCTCCACATCTCCCTGCCCGGCCCGCCGCCCTCCGGGGACGACTGGTACCACCCTCACCACCTCCAGCTACAACAACAGCAACATCAGCAACAACAGCAGCGGAGGGAGGAGGAGAAGCTGGAGCAGGTGTTGCAGCTCCAGGCGCGCGTGAGTCGCGGCATACAGGAGAACACGCGCCGGTTACAGGACTCTCTCAAGGCCGCGCGGCTCAGGACACGTGCGCTGGAGCTGATCGGCCGGGGGGTAACCGACCTAGAGAGGCAGATCAGTCGTTTGAAGGAGGAGGTCAGGGATAGTGGAGATTGACGTGACGTGACATGACGTGATGTCACACGTGGCCTTTCACACGCCACACGTGGCTTGCTTCAGGGGACTGTGGCTAGGGACGTCATCGACCTGGAGAGGCAGATCAGTCGTCTGAAGGAGGAGGTCAGTGACAGGGAGGACTGACGTGGCATGACGTGATGTCACACGTGGCTTGCCACAGGTCACCGCAACTGTTTTCGTCTGTTGGTGCCGCCCCCACACGCACTCTCTTCGCCACAACAGGCCTCCATCTTCCCCGGTCTCTGCTTTGGTTAATTTCTTCCAAAAGTGTGTTATTTTATCTCTTCAGAAAAGAGTTACGTCAAAGAGACTTGTTGGCCTTGAACTTTGAGCCGAACCAACCGAAGAATACTTGGTCACAAGCAAGATATTTGTCGGTTGAAGAACAGAAGAATTAGTTTAGAACAGTGGCGACTGTTGAACAGAAAAGTAAAACTCTCCTTTGGATTGACTTTCAAGAACTGGGATCGTTGTACCTGTAGGGTCAAATATTTTTCAGTTTTGAGGAGCAGGTCTGTCGGTGGAAGAATGAGTTAAACGACCATGAAGACTGCCAGCTGAACTCAAAATATTATTCTGTGTGGACGAGAGATTATTTCTACCAGGAACGGCTTGTCTTTAAAATACATGCAGTTGGGGTCGATAGACGGGATAATGTGTTCATAAGAGCAGTGAAACGGTCATGTTGTGCATAATTCTTTTTGTTGTCAACGGTCGATTGAAGGGCTGAATAGTAAATGACATTTGGACCAGATTCGACAAAAGAGTTGGCGGTTTTGAGGAGCTGAACTGTAGTTGAGTTGGCTGAAGCGTGGAGTGAAGGGCTATGTTGACAAAGTCATAGAGGGGGCACATGGCACTTCGGGGGGGGGGGGGGAGGAAGGGGGGGGGGGAGGGGGTGACACGTGCCAGTCTTTTGTTGTGGGTTTTTTTTTCATTAGTTGGTCGGAGTACGCTGGAGTTTTTGAATCTTTTTGACCAAGTACGTGCCATATAGATACACGTGAAGCTTATAGTGGGTCGTTATATGAAGGGACGGGAACATTGAGGACTGGCGTGCAGATAAATATGTTATGGACGATGAGAAGAGCTTTATGTTATGGAGGATGAGAAGAGCTTTATGTTATGGAGGATGAGTAGAGTTTTGTGTTATGGAGGATGAGTAGAGTTAAGAGTTTTGTACATTTTTAAAAAGGTCAACAAGAGGCGTCGTTTTGATGTTCCAACTCTGACAATTTTCTCTAGTTAGCTGCTACTTAAAAGCAGAGATGGAATTTTACAGTGTTTCCTGGAGTCTGTATTACTGGCTGTGCAAAGAAGAAAGAGATGTGGGATATTGAGAACTATTCTTCGTTCAGTCTACTGACATTCGCGTCTTCGCCGACAAACCAGTTGCTGCATAAGTGTTACTTATTTTTTCAAATTGTCTGTGTTTGTCATGAATGTTTGGGACTGATTGTTGGTGCCAGACAAGAAGAGGACGAGGGGATGGACGCGATGATTGGGAGCTAGTAACCCTTCTTGTAGCGCTGAGCTGTAAGCCTTGTGTTCTCACTGCAGTGAGCCTGTCACAGAATTTGTGTCAGATGTGGATCGGCCATAGACTTGAGCTATACTCTTCTAGACCGTACACTGTCACGCCGACCATAGACTTGTACTATAATATCCTAGACTGCACACTGTCATGGCCGACCATAGACGTGTACTATAATGTCCTAGACCGTACACTGTCATGGCCGACCATAGACTTGTACTACAATGTCCTAGACCGTACATTGTCATGGCCGACCATAGACTTGTACTACAATGTCCTAGACCGTGCATTGTCATGGCCGCCCATAGACTAGAACTATAATATCATAGATTGTGAACTGTCATGGCTGTCGGTCATTGCTTTCTATATAAAAAAACAAAACAAAAACTACCTCGCTGCGCTAGTGTGCAGAATGCGCGCCCAAATGAAGGAAAAAAAACCCTACCAACAACACTTTCTCGCTATAGTCTAGAACTCGCCTTAATTTTCATCTGGTTTCAAATTAAGTCAAATGGTGTACTGTACCCAACGGTAAACCGGAATGACGCCAGACTGCGCAGTGTAGGGTATTATTATACTGTAAGTCTATGAGGTTGAGTAAACATCTTGCTGCTGTGTACGACTAACCGGAATGACGTCAGACTACACAGTTTAGGATATTACACTACCAGTCTATGGGGTTGAGTAAACATCTTGCTGCTGTGTACGACAAACCGGAATGACGTCAAACTACACAGTTTAGGGTATTACACTACAAGTCTATGGGTTGAGTAAACATCTTGCTGATGTGTACGACTAGCCGGAATGACGTCAAACTACACAGTTTAGGATATTACTCTACAAGTCTATCGGGTTGAGTAAACATCTTGCTGGGCTTTGTACTGTACGTCTCAGGGTCAAACCTCACTGTACTGTAAGCGATCCCTTTGCTGGTTGGTTGCGCCGGCGTTTGTGGTGTAGCGGTTAGGCACCTCCCTGAGGTACGCAGAAGATAGGAGTTTTTTGTTCAATTGAGCATCTCCGTCCGTCTGTTTGCACATTCTGCCGTCATTTTTTTTAAAGTACAGGATCTACAGTTTTTACAATTTTACAGTAGAGCCAACCCCCCCAAAAAAACAAAACAAAACAACAACAACAAAACAAACAACAAGAAAAAAACAACAAACAACAAAAAAACAAAAAACAACCAAACAAACGAACAAACCTGAATGTGGTTACCAGAAAACAAACTAATTGCAAGCATCCCAAGTCGTTATCTTTAACAATACAACTTTGACAATAACTTCCTTATTATCTTTTAAACAAATGTTGTTTTCTTGATAACGTTTAGATTTTTTTTTGGGGGGGGGGAGGAGGGGGGAGGCTGCTTTCCTGCATCATCGTCATCATCATCATCATCATCATCATCATCATCATCATCATCATCATCATCATCATCATCATCATCATCATCATCATCATCATCGTCATCATCATCATTATCATCATCGTCATCATCATCATCGTCATCATCATCATCGTCATCATCTCCGTCGCGTGAAATGCTGGAATATGTGAGCTGTTCAGAAATGACGTTGTTTGCTACTGGAGGAAAAAAACAACCCCAAAAACGAAAGCAACTAAACTAACAATAACGAACATCTCATAATAATAGTTAAAGTCGTTGCAAAATGTGAGAAATACTTTGTTATGAAAGATTTTCAATAATGTGCCTTTCTTTTCTAAAGGGGTAAAAGGTTTTTTGTTGTTGTGGTTTTTTACTGAAAGAAATTAAAGTGACATGACCGAATATCGGGATTAATTTTTGTTTAAAGAGAAAGTTTCTTTTAAAACCTAAATTTTTTTAATTGTCTGTAATGAAATGAATCCGTGATATCAATAACCGTTTTACTGTAAGGTTTTTATTGGAATGACATTCCCATGTTTGTTATTTTCCTTTTTACCCCAGCCTTCCAATTTGTGAACTACATTCCACTTGGCGTGTCTTTGAGTACTAGGCAAATGAAATTTAGCCCTATCGTTTTACACGCGTAAAAGTCTGTCTAGTCAGAACTAAGTGTTTTCTGTCGTTTTGTTTGTTCCTGGAAGGAGGGAGGGGGGGTGACAGAGAGAGAGAGAGGGAGACAGAGAGAGAGAGGGGGAGAGAGAGAGAGAGAGAGAGAGAGAGAGAGAGGGAGAGAGAGAGAGGGAAGAAGGGAGAGAGCGAGGTCAGAGAGAGGGTAGAGAGTGTAAGAGGAAGATGGAGAAGGGGATAGATAGAGAGATAGACAGAGACAGAGAGACAGAGAGGTTGAGGGGGGTGGGTCGACCAGGGCGAAACCAGACTGAGTGGAACAAAGCATTTCGATAACAGCAGATGGAGAGACTCGATAACATACTTTCTCCTGCTGTTGTTGACTCACGTTTCCCACCTGCAAGGCAACACTGTTGACAAGCAGAGGGAGAGACAGAGAGAGAGAAGGGGAGGGAGAACGAGAGAGGAAGAGAGAGAATGAAAAAAGAAAGAAAGAATTAGAGGGGTTTGAGAGAGAGAAGAGAGAGAGAGAGAGAGA